AAAAAAAAAAAAAAAAAAAAAAAAAAAAAGAAAGAAAAAAAATAATAATAATAATAGTAATAAAAGAAAGAAATTGACAATGACGTTAGCTCATCTCACCACGACTACGATCTACAACTGCGCGTTCGAGTACCAAATAAATTGTTGATTTCCGCCAATAATCACGACGATTTCATAGGCAAAACAATTATTATGCTCGTTTAACGACGAGTCGTCCGGCGCAATTTATAGTAGTGTCGGGCCGTGACTTTTGAAAATCTCACGGACAGCGACCCATTCCAATTCCAATTCCCTTTCTATCTGTATTCAGGCATCCTTTTCCTTACCAACGGCGACCAACTAAAAACTGAGGGATAGTCGCTTATTTGCCATCGCGATGCGTTTCCATGCACTTCCAACTAATGTGTAACTAAATTCCATGCTCGTTCGCCCTTAAAAAGGCCGAAGGGGCCGCTTAATTTACGATTTATAAAGCGGGCGGCATAATTAAGCTCGTTACGGTCGCGCAATTACACGGCAGACATATTAATAAAATAAACCAAGCGATCGTTGGTTTTAAGCCACGACACTACCGGCACTACCGGCACTCTTGGCACTCTTGGCACTCCCGCCACTCTCGCCACTCTCGCCACTCTCGCCACTCTCGCCACTCTCGCCACTCTCGCCACTCTCTCAACCATGAAAATACTAAGTATTATATTTACTGACGCTCAGTTTGGTGATTGGGACGTTGAATACGCAATCGGTCGCCCGTGACGAGGACCATTGCGATGCCCTGACCACTTGAAAGGATCGTCCGCCGTTCCCCTGGCTTTGAAATATCTCCACCTGGCGCCGAGCTTTCTGCACCAGACTTCCGTCCGCTGAATTCCGCTCCCTGGAGTCGATCATCTGCGTGATAATGCGCAAAATAATGTCAGGCTCGGTAAGTAGTCGCTCTCGGCTTACTCTTTTGTCCGAGGCGCACCGTTCCAACGCGATTTATAGCGCCTCGTTTTAAGTCAACCCGACCGCGCATCTCCTTTAATCGCGCGGGATTATAATTAATTCGCGCATTAACATTGCGTCCAGTGATTTACAATGCATGGCTGCGTAAGAAACGAGAGAAACTGACTCGAACGCCGGAATATCATTATCGCCCGTTACAAGCCGGCCTGCCTGATTTGTTTAACAAGCGGACGGGCGGGGGCGGATCTCGATTTTACGATCGCTTAATTGACGCATAAGTTAAACTAAAATGGACTATCGGTGTACGGGAGCGACGGAACGCTTTGTCGATATAATCGTCGAGAAGCTGGAAAGGATCGACACTCATCGCGGAAAATTCGCGGAACAACGCAATTTCCCGTGTGACGCAGGCGTGAGCTGTCAGTGTCTCTCTTCCCCGCTCACCGCCCCGTATATTAGCCGCGATCGCGTAATAATGCACGCGTTGCGCAATACCTTTGCACTCTATATCTGGCTCTCTCTCTCTCTCTCTCTCTCTGTCTCTCTCCATCTCTTTCTCTCTCTCTCTCACACTCTCTCTCTATCTATCCCCCCCCCCTCTCTCTCTCTCACTCTCTCTCTCTCTCTCTCTCTTTTGCTTTCTCTCGCTTGCTCTCGCTCTCGGCCATTCTCCGGATAAGGAATCGCGCGCGGAACCTCGCCGCTTATTTTTCTCTCGCGCCATAAGCCGATGCGTAATGACATAAGCGGCGCAGCTTCTCCGCCACACGTTTTCCTTATTCTGCACTTCGGGTTTTTTTTCCTCCGATAGCGACGAGCACCAGCCTCGCCCCTTTTCCCGGGCGAATACTCGTCGCGACGGCAAAAAGTCACTCGGTGCCTCGTTTCGACGTCTCGTCTCGTCTCGTCTCGTCTCGTCTCGTCTCGTCTCCTCTCGTCTCGTCTCGTTTCGTTTCGTCGCGGCGTTACGCGAACGAGTCCCGCGCGAAAAAAGTCCCAACGCCAATAATGAGATACGCTTCGCTTTCGAAAGCAATAGAATGCTTTAATTGCCGGACCGTACTCGACTATTCTTACCGACAATCAACATTATTAATTCGTTATTTCCAAGCTCCTCGATACTTTATCGTTTTACCATTATTTATTGCCACCACTGCCGCATCATTCGCAAATAAATATTTATATTTGCTAATATTTAGGGGAATGTCGCATTACAGCTTCTTTGGCGCAAACAATACACGCTCCATTTATAACGTAAAATTCTGTTTCTCTGGCTCTCCATTATAATTATACCAACAAACAATTAAAATTTTTAACCGAGCTCCCGAGCTCTTACGCGCCCAATAAATATCTCAAACGTCTATATAAACTTTTATTCTATATCTATATTTATTCTATTCACACACACACACACACGCACACGCACACGCACGCACACATATATATATATATATATATATATATATATATATATATATATATATATATATATATATATATATATATATGTATATGTTTCTGTGTACATATAAGATCCTGTAGATATAAGAATCTTACGTACAGTTGTCTTTGTATTATGAAAATCCATATTTTCAACGTCTCCCTCGCCTTTAAATTCAAATCCAATCTTCCTCCTACGAATGAGTTGCGCACCTCAAAGTCACACACTTCCTTCCCGGCTCCGAGTCACAATCTACTCATCCTCGTTCCTCGGCTCGCTAAAATCTGTCGATGCGTTGTGAAAGTGCGCGGACGTTGGAGATTGCAAAAAGACGAGACGCCGCCCAAAAGCCATGGGCACGGAGAAAAAGTCCGTCGACTAGGCGCAGCAACTCGCCACGTATCTCAGCTCCGAGCGTTCTCGAGCCACCCGAAAGCCGACTTTCGGTCTATGAGAAGGGCCTGCGAGAGTCCCGGGGGCCGATCTGGCCCGTCGGCCATGCGACGAACAACCCTCGATTACTCGAGCTTGAAATGATCCCGGTACTAACGAGTCGCTCGCGCGCACTCGTTTCGGCATTGCGCGCTGCACTGATCGGGAAAAAATCCAGCGCACGCCGCTGCACTCGTCTGCTCCCCCCGGCTCCTAACGAAATCGGTCCCCGTCGTGTCCACGACTCGAGCGCAGTGCCGTCGCTACCGGCCCGGCACACCTGCGCATCCTAGCCGCCGACCGCCGAGGCGTCGAACGTAAAATGCGAAAGGTTGAGTGCGTGTGGAGTGCGTCCGGGGGCGCTCCCTCGCGACGCTTTCCCAGTGGCCCGAGCGACGTGGCGAGAGTTCCTTACATTTTGCGGACGCGCGCCCGCTCGGTGTCCAAGGAGTCTCTTGCACGATCGGGCCCTGATTTTTCGGGAATCGGACGCGATCTCGGCTAGTCGCGGCTGCCGTTTGCTTCGAAGCCGAGTGCTTCTACCGGCACCCGCAGCCACCGTCATCCACCGCCGTCCAACGCCGCCCATCGCCGCCCATCGCGACATCTCACGCGATCGCTCGCTAGACCATCGACGTAATTGATTGACAATATTTTCGAAATTAGCATTTCAAATGTGACGGCATCGGCGTAACGATGGTTTTATAAAGTCGATCTAGATGCGCCTGCGAACGGAAATTGGGTCGATCAAGATAAGCGCGCGGTGCGTGAGTCAAATGGAGAATAACTAATAGCGACCTACATGTTACTAACGACGCCGAGTACTTATATATGTGTGCGTGTGTATTAAATATGAATTTGTTGCGAAACTTTTGTACATTATTATTTAGCAATCGCTCGTACTATTCTTATAAAAGGAAATAGCGGCGACAAGTTGTTCGACGATAATGTGTCTCGAATGTCGATACTTCTTTATCTCGAATGGGCAGAAAATTTCGTTTTATTTCATCGCGGCATTAATTTACATAAATAAGCCGATTGACGAAGCAGCGTTTAATAAATAAATAGCGTTTTAATCAAAACGATGTAAAATCTACGATAAGGTATAAATAATTCATAGCACGTTGCTTGAACATTTCAGCAAATAACAAATCCACAAATAACATGTCTTTAAAGATTTATAAATGATTTTAAAGGATTTATAGGGTTTAAAGTGATTTTAGGATTTAAAGTGCATCCGCCTTTATTATCGCGGTATCATTTCGAAATATCCATTTTTAAAAAGCTCTATCCACCGCTGACTGATCCACTCTCCTCCCGCTCTGACGCGACCCCACCCACTCCCCATCCCACCGTCACCACCGTCCCAATCGACCTGAGATTGAAAGAGGCCTAATGACAATTTCATCGACTGGCTGTCAGGCTCGTTTGAGCGAAAGTAAAGGAGAATGCAAAATTTATGACTACGGGTCCGCCGATACAGCGCTAAAGCGTTTGAAATCGCCGGTCGAATTATTTAAAATCTTAATATTGCCGGCGCTCAACGCAATCGGCGCAACCATAATCCCCGTGGCTATCGCAACCAAAAGTGGCTAAGAAGCGCATTAATGCCAAACGGTTAGTCCGACATAAGTAATTGGAAGTGCCCTGGGGTCTGGGGTCTCGGGCCTGCGGTAGTGGGTGGGGAGTAGGAGGACGGGCGAGGGGGAGACGAGGAGACGAGGAGGATGAAAGAGGCGACAGCAAGGCGAGACGGTATCGGGGATTCCGAGGCAAGCCGCGGAAGGACACCCCGGGAAGGGTCATCGGGCTCACGTCATACGTACCTTCCCGTAGGAGTGTATGGCGTCATTGGTGTTGGCGCGCCAGCGGTCGGTCTCGACTCGCGCACGCTCCAGCATCCCCGTGACGCGATCCACCCGGGACCACTCGCGCACGTCCTCGTTGCGGAAGGGGCTGCCCTCGGCGCCCTCGCCTCCGAGATTACCAGGTGACAGGACAAGCTCCATGCTCATAGCCGGTACTCAACCCTGGCTCCCGTCCTCGTCCATCGTCCTCGGCCGTCGTCCTCTGGTCAATTGCTGCTTCTCCCGCGATCCCCCGTCCGTCCGCTTCCTCGATGCTCGGAAGCCTGCGGAAGCGCATTCCGTATTACCGATCGCATTGGGTATTGTGTGCTCGGCGGTCTGCGCGCACAGTACTCGGGCTAGGAAAAAGGAAAAGCACACTTTTTCCTGCCGCTCGAGTGAAAGTCGTCGTAGCGCAAGATAATTCAGACTCGTTATCTACGCGCGATTGTTTATTGGCGAGGGAACGATGCGCAACCATAATAATAATTGCCAGTACTAATTCCCCGATTAATTGCACGTGCCATTTTCGATTATTTCAAGGCTAAGTCATACGCTACACCTACGCTCGTCCCTCGTAGTTGCAATGTTTCTTACTCGCATTGTACCGTCCCGGGACAATGCCAACCGCGCTTGTTCCTACTCGTCCCGATCCTTATACTCTTCGCGTGTCGCAGCAACTTTCCTTTTAAAATAATCTCATTCGCGCGGTACGCACTGTAAGTACGAACACGCAAAAACTCTGCTTACTCATTTGGTGTGCGTGCGCCCGAGCTCGGTTTGGTGTCCGTGTGAGTGCCCGTCTGTGTGCGTAATAGGATTTGTTTATTTACGTTGCCTTGAGGTAACTTTCTAATTCAAATTTCTCGCATAAGCTACGCGAAAGATTTATTTCATACTCTTTTTAAATCCATAAAATCGCTACCAAGTACGCGTTACAATATATATATATATATATATATATATATATTAAAATAGAAAAAAAAGAAATAAAAAAAAGAGAGAGAGACAAACTCTCGATTTTATTAAATCCCTCGTTACTTTTAATGCGCATTAACTCAAATACTTTCCGTTTTCTTCGACTATTCTAAATACGATAAGTCGTGTAAACGTAGCAGTTAAGGATATATATATATATATATATATATATATATATATATATATATATATAAATGATTTACGATATAATACTTGATGTGGTAGTACATTAAATTTATTCCTTATGGAAATAAGGAGACAGGTAAGAGATCGATTAAAATTCGCTTCGAGTAATTCTCTCGTTGAAGTCCCTAGTCGAGTCGCGCCTATCCTTCTCTTTTCATTTTCTGTGCTTAGAATGAGCCAGAGTTTTTTCTAGTTTTCAAGATTAGCGCGTCGATTTGAGCGATCGAATTGCTTAAAGATAAACATTATCATCATTGATGATAAAGATATTACGAATAAACTTTGTCCAACTTTCACTCTAAAAATCGCTATTTATTCTAATTTTGCCTAGAGAAAATCAAAATAATATTGATGAGTAATTTATCGGTAAAACTGAATATTTAAAATATTAATAGACAAAAGTTTGAAATGGACGTTTATTCGTAAGTTTGATTTTTTGTATAAATAACGAATAATGTCCATTTAAAGACAAATATTAAATCATATTACATTTGAAAAATAATTTTAAAAAGTAAATAAATTAAATATGTTGCTGTTGTTGATATTTTTTTATCCTCATGTCCCTTTATCAACTGACGATATTATTTCATTTAATTGAATAATTAATTAAAATCGTATTGCAATATATTCATAATTACAATTCATAATTATAATGATACACATTCTTAAACAGAAAGTCTTGAAGGATTTAATTAAATTGAATATTCTTGAAAATATAATTATATTAATTTTTTTTATTTAACTACTTGATTAATGTTCGCGAAACGTTATTTTTTATTTTTATAACCTGACATTCGTTCGTTCGTTCGTTCGTTTGTTTGTTTGTTTGTTTTTGTTTTTTGTTTATGTTTGGTTTAACAAAGATACATCTAAAGGTATACACCTTTTATCCAGATTATCCTTATAATTTATACTATGATTTTCTTACGCGACACTCGTTCATGGAAAAAAATCGTTCATTTACATAATTTTGACGTAACATTTGTCATGGAAGTTCTACTATTACCGCATTTTTTCCTCACAGCTTTGCTCGATTACACATTGAATGGGAGGTATTATGCCCATTACACGGAAATTGCATAATTTACTCGAATTGCTCATAATTGCTTGTACTATTATGGTATAGAAAATTGAAATTACGAGTTATAAATATTTATCGTTGATAGGATGGAAATGTACAATTACCGATGACACCGAAATCGATGTGTTATTTCTAGATATTGTTAGAAATAAAAAAAATTATTATTTTTCAAGGATGCAATAATAAAATCAATTTATTATTATAATTACACACAATCAATTATAATAATTATTCGTGGCGAGAGGCTTTATAAGAAGAACTTGTCTTTAATGAGTTGAACACTACTCTAATAAATAAAATAATATGAAATAGCCACGATATGAGTTATTAATATGGTCAGCGCAATGACTAGAAAAAGAAGAACGCAAAATTATAAAAGAAAAAAGAAAGAAAAAAGAAAAAAAAAAGGAAAAGATATAAATGAAAAGTACGAGCATTAGATACGAGCAATTTTACATGAACTCAATGCATGAAACTCAAGTATTTTAAAAATATTTGTTTTACTACGGAAATTATTTTACGATATAAATAAATAAAAGGCAGTACACGATTATTTTCTTATAACTAAATGTGCATATATGCTGATAAAGATATTTAACAGAAACATTCAAAGAAACGTTATGTGAAGAAAATTCCAGAAATTATTACGGTCTTACTGTATGGCCTTATTCCGGATGAAAGCTTAATAAAAAAAAAATATAATAATAATAATAATAATAATAATAATAATAAAAAAATAAATAAATAAATGTGTAAGCGAATACATAAAATATTAAAATTAAAATTAATAAGAAAATTATATTCAAAGCATAATTTTGTAATAACACAAAAAACATATTGGAAAAAAAGAAGATTTTATAATAAATTGAGAAACTCACGTTCGAAGGATTATTTTATAATAATAAGAACATTATCCGAGAGACACAGGTTTATAATTTTCTCCCGCTCTCCCTCTCTCTCTCTCTCTCTTTTATTATTATTATTATTATTATTATTATTATTATATTTTTTTTTTATTAAGCTTTCATCCGATTATTCTTGCGAGTCGCTTAATTTTTCCAGAGCCTGTGTGACTTTACTTTATTAAAAATAATACTCAACATAAATGAGATTTATGGTGTTTCTAAAAACAGAAAACAACAAGAAAGGGGTTGAATTTTGTTTCAGCTTCACTCTCATTACTTACTAATGATTAAAATAACAGATACCTCGACTAACGTACAAAAACAATAATCATAAATTTCAATGGCTTGGTCAATATTAACGCAATGCGATCTCAACAAACAGCTAATTATTTTAACAATATATTTGTCGGCATTGGCTGAATTGATAATTCGAGTTATTAATAAATTTAAGTACACACACGCACACGCAAACGCACACGCACACACATATATATAAGAAAACAAAACAAAACAAAACAAAACAAAAATTCTAATCATAACGAAAAATATATGGCCATTAATTAACAAATGAATAAAACATTCTAAAACTGCAGTATAGAACAAAATTCTTATAACTATTAACTGGCATGCAAAATTCGTAATGCACGACCTGCTATTACGAAGTGCTAATTAAGTTCTAAGTATCGACCATAGAGAAGAGCATAAGAGTACGTTTTTAATAGGGCTATCGAATAATTGCATTGTTTGTGGTTTTGTTGTTGTTTTTGTTTTTTTTTGTTTTTTTTTTTTGTTTTTTTTTTGTTTTTGTTTGATGTTTGATCATTTACCGAGCCGATGACAGTTATACCCGTTGTGTTTCTCGCGGATAAAGGTAGATGGGAAGAAGTGGGTAAGGTAAGGTAAAATTCTCAGCCATAAGGCGAGGATAAGGCGAGGATAGGCCGAAAGCAAAACCGTCCAATGACGACGAATCGATGATTTACAATAGGTATCCTCTCAAGTCTGCGCATCTCAAAATCGCAATCAAAAGAGTTTTATAATGAATTAGCCGGGGAGGTAAGTGACGTTGTCGTTGGATTAAAATTACAAACGTCCCATTGATTTATAATAATGGCACGTAGTAACTGTATCTTAAATCTACGAGTGAAAGAACCGTTGCAATAAGTTTTCTCATAGTGGTGCGAGGAGATGGCCATTGGATACCGCGGATGTGCATAAACGCAGGGAAACACGTGGGATTCCAATTACCCCGGACGAAAGCCGCGCATAAAAATTCCTCGAGGTTAAGGAAAGCTCGGTGAAAAGAGATAACCGAACAAAGCGTAGCACGGCCAAGTGTATCGTTTACAATAGGTGAGCGAAACTCGCGCGAGCCGACGCCTCGGACAACGGGGGTCGAGGGGCAGCCCCAGGCCGCCGCGAATTCCGTGCGGACGAGTCCGAAGAGCGAGCCTAGAAGGAGGAATATCCGGCTCTCGGGCTGTCACCGAAACCTCGGGGGTCCGGCTTTGAATTCGCGCGTCGAACCGGTCCGAGAGCAGAACGAGCCGCGCGCCAACGAGCCGAGGAAGGGAACGAGAGTAAGAGAGTAGGAAGGAGTCGCGGCCGGTCACCTTGAGGATTGCCCTCGACGTCGGATAGGCGCGTACGTGCGCTCGGAAAAAGCGAGGAGGAGTGGGTGGACCCGGGATGCGCGAGTCGCTCTCCTCGAGAGGCTGCCGCAGCTGATGGCAGGGCCCAAGGACGAGGCCCCGTATCGATCATATCGCCGTGCCCCCGCCGCCGCCGCCCCCGCCGCGCGCGCGTGGGACTTTTGTCGGCGGGACGGCTTTAATTGGTTTCTCGGGCGGTTGGGGCCCGCGGGCCATCCTTGCCGCCCGTTAGGTATTTATGAAAATCTCGCGAGTCGGGGCCGCGTTCTCAAGGCCCCCGCTTACATAAATCCAAAGGCAAACGAGGATAAAGGGCCTCGCGTGCTGCGCCCACGCCACTGCACCCGTAATTTTAAATCATTTTCACGAGGGGAGGAACCGCGTTCTCCTCCTCTAC